GACCAGAAGGCTCCCGCGCGCAGGGGAGAATGGGGCGCTGACGCGAGGTAGGTGCTACTAGCCTGTTCTGATGCGGGGGAGGGACTGCAGGGGGGGGGAGGCATGCACCTACCAGCACTAGCAGGTCGAATCGCTTGTCCGTCGGCACGTACTGGGGCACCTGGAGCACACACAGCAGCAGTGTCTTGATGAGGCCTGTCTGCTGACCCACCTTGATGCTGCCCACCTCTGAAACATGGAGGAGAAGGTGAGAGAGAGAGGGAGAGGGGGAGAGGGGAACAGAGAGAGAGAGAGAGAGAGAGAGAGAGAGATGCAGAGGAGAGAGAGAGAGAGAGAGAGAGCGAGCGAGAGAGAGAGAGAGCAAAGAGACGAAGGAGAAGAGAGAGAGAGAGAGAGAGAGAGAGAGAGCGAGCAGAGAGAGAGAGAGAGAAAGAGGCAGAAGCAGGAGGAGGAGAAGAGAGAGAGAGACTGAGAGGAGAGAGAGACAGCGAGGCGAAGAAGAGAGAGAGAGAAAGCAAGAGAAGAAGAAGAGTATGCAAGGATAGGCGCGTGGCGGCGACGGTCACCACGGCAACGACAGCATCAACGCATGACAGCAACAGCAGCAGACGACGACTCACCGTTGTCGTGCGTGATGTTGAGAAACACTCTCAGTACGGACAGCAGGCAGTCGAAGATGGCAGCACCGTTGCTTGCCCGATACTCGCTCGCCTGCGAATCGTGCTCACCGACCGACTCTATGCATCGCTGACACTGACCCAGCACCCTGTAAGCAGCGCGAGCGCGCATGAACAAGTGAACGTCCGTATCCGTGAGACAAATGCATATACATACATCGCTGGCACTGCCCCAGCACCCTGTAAGCAGCGCGAGCGTGCGGGAACAAGTGAACGTCTCCGTATCCGTGAGACAAATGCATATACACACATCGCTGGCACTGCCCCAGCACCCTGCAAGCAGCGCGAGCGCGCGGGAACAAGTGAACATCCGCATCCGGCGAGAGTTGTACGCTGGGACGGTGTCGCGCTGAGATGGTAACACTCACATGCGTGCATGCACGCCTGCACGCACACACGCACGTACGCATATGCACACACACACACACGCACACACGTATGCACACACGCATGCACTAACGCATATGCACGCACTCACTCACGCACGCACGCTCACACGCATGCACGCACGCACGCACGCATGCATCATGCAAGCAGTTATGCAATCACACATGTAAACATTTGTCTAGAACATAGTTGTAAGTATCCATCTCGACATAAGCTCCCACGCAACTAAGCATACAGTCAAACTGCCGCGCTGCGCTGTGCCCACACCTTCCCTCGCTCTAACGTTCGCATGTACGCAGCGCCACCTATGTAATGCAGCGCCCCCTACATAATGCAGCACCCCCTACATAATGCAGCTCCCCCTGCGTAATGAAGCGCCCCCTACGTAATGCAGCGCCCCCTACGTAATGCAGCGCCGCCTACGTAATGCAGCGCCGCCTACGTAATGCAGCGCCCCCTACGTAATGCAGCGCCGCCTACGTAATGCAGCGCCGCCTACGTAATGCAGCGCCCCCTACCTGGTCATGGCAAGGATCAGCATGTTCTGCTTGAAGCATATCACGTACTGTTGGTTCTCCGTGTTCATGTAGCTCACCTGTAATCACAGGTAAACAGAGGTAAACAGAGGTAAACACAGGTAACCATAGGTAACCATAGGTAACCATAGGTAAACACAGGTAAACATAGGTAAACACAGGTAAACACAAGTAATCATAGGTAAACACAGGTAACCATAGGTAAACATAGGTAACCATAGGGAAACACAGGTAACCATAGGTAAACACAGGTAACCATAGGTAAACAGAGGTAAACACAAGTAACCATAGGTAAACACAGGTAACAACAGGTAAACAAACACAATTACAGGCAACCACACGTACCCACAGGTAACTAAAGGTAAACAAACATAATCACAGGTAACCATAGGTAAGCACAAGTAACTACAGGTAAACAAACACAAACACAGGCGGCCATACGTAAGCACAGGTAACTAAAGGTAAACAAACACAAACACAAACACAGGCGGCCATACGTAAGCACAGGTAACTAAAGGTAAACAAATATAATCACAGGTAACAGCAGGTAAAAATACATAATCACAGGTAATCATAGGTAATCACAGGTAATCACAGGTAAACACACATAACCATAGGTGAGCACCGGTAGCGTGAACGCCCTCTGGCGGCGGCTGTAGTTACTACGTACGTTCTCGAGCACGCGCATGCATCGGTCGATCTTGCGTATTTTCTCGATCTGCAGATCGCTCGGCTCCTCACACTCGTCATCGAGGAAATCCGCACAGCTGCTCACTGCAACAACACGGAACAACGTGTTATATCACTGCAGCGACACGGAACAACATGTTATATCACTGCAACGACATGGAACAACATGTCATATCACTGCAACGACACGGAACAGCATGTTATGTCACTGCAACAACACGGAACAACATGTTATGTAACTGCAATGACACGGAACAACATGTCATGTCACTGCAATGATGCATGACATGGGAAAATATGTATGTAATATATATATACATATACACATGTAACAATACAATGCCATATGACGTCACGAGTACACGGCATAGCGCCACCTAGCGTAGCGCCGCCTAGCGTAGCGCCCCCTGGTGCAGCGACTCACTGGTAGTGATGATGTGGTCGAGGCCGCCCAGCGTGCGCAGCTCAGTCTTGAACCACTCGCCCGCCTTGCGCGACGTCAACCCCAGCAGCGTCTCCATGGCGATGTAACTCGTCTGCGGAAAACAAGATGGCGGCGCTGAAACACGCGGATGTGCGGAGGAAGGTACGGAGAGGAGGGGAGGAGAGAAAAGTGCAGAGAGGAGGGAAGGAGGGTGGGGAGGAAAGGAAGGTGCAGAGAGGAGGGAGAAGAGGAGAAGAGGAGAGGAGATGAGGGGAGGAGGGGTGGGGAGGAGGAGGAGGGAAGGAGT